AGAAGGGGGGCAACGACCATCGTGCTCATACTTAAGCTCATTATATTTTTCGACAACTTTACGCACCGACGGGTTTTTGCCCGGCGAAAATGCAAAAACGAAATAAAATCCGGGCGCTGCAAATGGCAGAGAACCTCTAGTCTCTTTGTTTATTTATTTTTACGTGCATCCGCAATAATATTTCATACATTATTATTATTATTTTAACTTCAGACTGGTTTCCTTTCCTTTCACACATGCACACACACAGAGCTTTCTAACTTTCAACAACCGATGTTCATTGATCAATTCAACAGAAAACTACTGTAACAACATAAGTTTTTTTTAACAAATAAACATTATTATTATAATTAAAGAATTGCAATATTTCACACATTACATCATAGTAAATTATTTAAAAAATAATAAATTTAGATAATAAAACTTAGAAATGTTTTTATATTATTTCTGTACGAAATTTTCTAAATTTAAGTTTACAAACTATTATCAATTAAATCACGTTATTAATATTTCATATTAGAAAGCTTTCATTTATTCATTTTCAATAATTTACTTGGATGAAATAATTTTACTTTATTGTTTAAATTATATTGAAGTCTTTAAAAAAAATTTATGCAAAGAGGAAATTCAGACAGGTTTTCTTTACAATTAATTTACAGAAGACATGTACAACTACTGTTTTATACAAATATTACTATAATTAATAATCTAAGAATAAATAATGTTTTCTAATACTAAATACTAATAACGTGATTTAGTTAGTTTGTAAACTTAAATTTATTACATTTCATACAAAACAATTATAAAAACATTATTCAGATTTCTGATTTTTCTTTCTCAATAATTTACTTAGATATGTGATATGAAATATTGCAATTCTTTAATTTTGTTTGTATATCTGTGAGTATATTAAATTCCTTTAAAAATAGATACAAAAAAGAAATGTGTAATTCGAAAAAATTGCTCTCAAAAGTAATTGAATCAAGGATACTCGAGAAAAGTGTCCTCGAGCAAAGTATTATTATCGACTTTTGTGTATTCTGTATGAAGTTTATTTTTTAATTGATAAAATCCTTTTGAAATCTTCAAAGTAAACGAGTAATTAAATAAATGCTGGTAATATTAATTAATTAAATTCTATTTTATAAAGAATATTTGAAAATTAAATTAAACTTGATAATTCTAATAAACAAAGATGAAATATTTGACAATTAATTAATTAATTATTATAGAGATAAAAAGTAAAGGAAATTAAAAAAATATTATATAATCTATCATGGTTTGAAGCAAAAAATATTGATATTTTTCTGAGTTTGATTTCAATGATACATTTTACGTTCGAGCATGATAAAGTTGTCGTTTTAAGTGGTATGAAATATGAAAGCACCGAGGCCAATTTTGATCGATGTATTAGAATTGGTATTTCATGAGCTGACAGGGCAAATGGAAGAAGATGAATCGAAATTGCGGAGAACATCGAATTAGTCCCGGCTCACGTCAGCGGCGCGGCGGCCCCCATCAATGCAAATCATTCATGTTCATGTTGGGACCAACTGTTGATAAGTATTTGGTATAATTAAAACGATTCCCGCTAGTGAGTAACGAGTATCTCGGGGCGGTTGCAGCGCAAAAAAAACCGCACCGCCAAAAAAGAAGAAAACCAAGAAAACTGGAGAGCCAATTTCTGCGGGTTTGTTGACTCCCCTGAACAACGAGTTTCTTATGTCGAAGAAGCAGAAGCAGCAGCAGCAGCAACAGCAGAAGAAGAAAAATAATTTGGCATCATCGCCGTGTACCGTGTAAATATTCATTGCGCAACAGCACTGCCTTAATTAGGCAGGAAATTTCCCTTTCCTCAATTATCCTTTTAGCTGGCGGCGCCTGTTGTCAGGTGATTGATGGCTCCTCGAAAGGAAGCAGAACAAGAAGAAGAGTAAAGAAGAAAAAAAAAGAAGGAGGATATAACAACGTAAAAATGTAACGAGATGTGGAAGGGTCCGGGCGTTATTGAAATTTTTCAATCGATTCGTACATTTTCTCGTCAATCATTATCGGACCGTTGTCGTTGTCGTGCAGGGATTTTGGGATTCGGCGTGGAATGCGAGGAACTGTTTCCAAATTGAGATCACGTTCTTACGTGCAAACTTCGATGTGTGTCATTATTGGGCGCCCTTCGGGCGAGAATTACGTGATTGCATCGTTGCTCCGAAGACACCTTTTGCAGCAACAATAAAATCGAGTTTCCAAATAACTACATTCAATTCCAATGCATAAACACATTCGCAATGTGCAAAACTTTCACACTGTTAAATGTAATGATATTACAACAATTCTCCATACAATTTACATAATAAACGAAATTTTGTAATTGTACATAAAATATCAAAAATTCAATCAACCTCTTTGACATTCAATGACGCGTCCCCAGACGTCGAAAGTTTTCAGTCTGTAAAATTGTATAGAAATAAATAATTCTGACGAAAGTGTACTAAGTGGTTCAAGCGAAAGTTCTGAAGTTATATGAAAAAATTGTTCGTGAATGAGTAAAACCTTTATCAACAAGTGATAAAACAAATTCATCAGAAAAATTGAATTGGATATTAATAATATAAAGACATTTAATTCAAATAATGGAATCAACTCAAAAAAAATAGAGTTAAATTAAATAATTCTTTAAGCTCTCCTACAAGTACTGAATAAAGACTTTTCGGAATGATAGTAATAGATACAAACAGATATGCGGTTTACTAACAAAACAATTATTATTAACTAAAGTAACTGTACAAAATCAACGTATTTTTTTCTTTCGTAACTTATATTTTATTCGTATGTCAAAGAGTTAAAGTATCCTATAATTATTTATAAATTTAACTGCTACAAACTAATTGATACTTGCTAAGTAAAACAATAGTTTATTAAAAAATTAACATTTCCTAAAATTTTTATATCAATATCTATTATCGAAATTGCTTTAAAATTATTCATCTCATGATTTTTTTTTTAAATTATTGTATAATAAATTGCTGCACTATATATTTTTTTAAATTTATTATTTACGAAACAGAGAGATTACATTGTTACTAGCAAAAAAAACACGTTTGAGCATTGTGTTAATATTGTAATCCAATTTGATACACGTGTCAAATCATATTGGTTATTTAATACAATGTCCGTCCGAAATCACGACATGTTCAATCCAAATTAAAATGATTTTTCAATTATTTTTTATTATTAATTAACTGAATATTGTTAATATAAACATTTAAAAAAAATGCCTACTTTCTATTTGTATATTTACTGTATAGATTACATAATTTATACAAGTATTTTTATTTATTTCAAGAATTTAATTTAGTTTAATATATTATAAATTTGCTGCTTGTCAAGTAATAATTGTGATTATGTAATTTTGAATAATGTTTAAATATAAAAATTAGTAATATTTGAAAAAGAACAACAAATATATCAATAGAAAGTTACGTAAATTATATTTGCTACTTACATGTCAAGTAAGATCATAGCTTATTTAGCTTGCATTTTATGTGTTACTTAAAGCTCTAAGTAATTTTTAAGCTTAACTTTCTATTTCCAGTTGCACTAACATAATTGAACTTGATTTAGAATAGAGTTTTCTGAAATTTCAGAAATATGAGTAAAATGAAAGTAGTTTTTAAATTCAATGAATTGTGATTATGTATTTTTTTTTTAAATTTAAATATAAAAATTAGTGATTTTTGAAAGAGAATAACAAATCAATATCAATACAATTTAAAAAAAGTTACGTAAATTATATAATTATATTTTATAAATTTGCTACTTGGTACTTGTCAAGTATGTTCATAGCTTCTTTTGCAAATTCTTGCATTTTATGTGTTACTTAAAGCTGTTACGTAAAGTTCATATTTGTAGTTGTAATAACATATTTGAACTTGATTTAGAACAGAGATGAAGCTTTCTGAAAACACTGAAAACTGAGTAAAATAAAAGTTATGTTGATTAAGTAATTTTCATTAAATTTTACATCAGAAAATTGTTGTTATTTGAAAATGAAAAATGAACAACAAATACATGAATGGAACATAAAGAATGTAGTGTTTTTTTTCATTGGTGTGTATATCGAATGTTCAAAGAGTGGAACAATAGAGCAACGATGGAAGTATTATGAGAGTTAATCGATGGCATTTTCAGTCCTTTCGAATGGATCCTGTACATTCGGAACGCACTAAATCCAGGTCATTGAATTTCAACGCCCTCCGGCCAACTGATAATCTGCAAACTCGTAATGTCTTCACACACACACAGACAGACATAGTGAGAGAGACAAGCGGCAAGTAATGGGCAAACAAATCCATAACTATGCAAATTTACCTACACTACTCGGCCAGTTTTATTATTCCATCCATATCCATAGGGGAAAGAGGAATACTAATTTTGATTTCATTACTCTGAACATCCTCAAGACGTATTTCCAACGCCATTCCCATTAGGAACCGCTAATAAATCTCGCATCCTCTGCAAGCTCTCATAATGAATACGCCGTAGACTCTCTACATTGTTTCTGAGTTATAGACATTCATTTCAGATTTCTACACGCAAATAAATTCTCGAATTCACATACACTTAATTTTTAACTATCAAGTATAACTAAACTTTTAATAAAAAACAAATCTGTAAATAATTATTGTTAATATTAATATTTAGTCTAAAATCATAACTCTCTTGCTTTAATTAAAATATATTATAATTAAGTATGAGGTAATCAATGATTACGTGCGTAAAATAAGTATTACGTAAAGAGTAATCATTACATTAATTTCTTTCATAAATATATAAAAGGAGTGTAAATATTTTTTCTTTCGAGCGCGGACTTTAATATATGCAACCAGCACTTCACAAGTACGTTCGCAAATATCACGTGTATTGAAATAAGTGAAGAAAAAAATAAAACGCGTCCGGCTTGCAGCTAAAATTATAATTAATGGTTGCACAAAGTTACTTACTTTATCTCCATTAAGTAGATGCGAATGCAAAGGCCTTTCTGGCGGCCCGAAGCTACTTTCTCTGTGTATGACTCCATCGTAGTCCATACATTCCGTGGTTCGCCTCTTATACCGACGCCAAAGAACCCTGCACAAAGACAGCTTACATAAGATAGTTCCATTAATTTCAATTAAAATGTTAGCAAATTTAGATTTCTTGTCAACTTTTATTGTTAATTTTAATCAAAATTTGTTTTGTTAACTTTTATTGTAATTGTAGTTGAATTTATTTGATCCTGTACAAAGACGAACAAAATATACAACTTACATAAGATAGTTCCATTAATTTGAATGAAAATGTTATAAAATTTAGGTTTTTTTTAACTTTTATTGTAATTTTAGTTGATTTTTATAAAGTAAAGAAGAAAAATTGAATTTGAGATGTGCCCGACGCATCCACCATAAATTAGATTCGGCGATGTGAAAGAGCTTACCTAATTACGAATCCCGTCACTAAAATGATGACTAGAGGAATCAGCGTGGCGAAGCATGCCAGGAACAAGGTCTGTATATCGTTGAATCCTGCAGGATAAAAGAGAAAATATTAGAGACGTCACGCGAGAAGCAAAAGAAAAGCGGATGTAATAGGAGAAACTAAAAACTATTTACTTCCTCAGCGTTGCCTTTGTGCCAAAAGAAACTGAGGCCAACTGCGGAAAATAGTATGGGGAAAAGCAAAATAAGAAAGAAAAAAAAAAACTAAAAGACGAAACAATAACAGTGAGAACGTGGGCAGAGTAGGATTTATGGTCTTCAAGGAAGGAAAAACACGGCTTTCCCATTCTCTCCATTTAATTCAAATAGTTTTCGTCCCCGAATAAAGTGTTATTTAAACAAATCGAGATTTATATTTGCTCACCGGATTCGCCCTCCTCTTCAATGTAATACCCGGTGCCGTTGAAAGATCGCTCCTTGACGTTGGTCACCGTTTTATTCACGAACGTCGGAGTGGATCCTGGGATGAATCTGTACTGTTCCGGCGGTAATGTTGCGTTTAATGGATAAAGGGAAACCCGCGTCGTCGAACTCTCCACCGACGATGGAGACGTTTGATTTGCAGGCATGCTTCCATTCATCAAATCCATTGGATTTCCTAAAAACAACACACAGAAAAAAAATGCTATTAGTCATTGTGAATGTATCCATTTTTAGTCAAATTTTGATTTTTTTTAGAAATCACAGTTTCTTATAAACAAAACAAAAATTAATCATCGAATTCTCGAAAACAACACACAGAAAAAAAATGCAATTAGTCATTGTGAATGTATTAATTTTTTAGTCTAATTTTGAAATTTATTTTTAGAAATCACAGTTTCTTATAAACAAAAATTAATCTTTGGATTCTTTAAAACAACACACATTGTATAAAACAATCATTGTAAATTTATCTATTTTTTTAGTTTAGTTCTGAAATTATTTTTTTTATTTTAGGCAAGACAAAAATTAGTTAATAAAAATTTAGAATTTTTAGTCTAATTTTAAAATGTATTTTTAGAAATCACAATTTCTTTTAAACAAAACAAAAATTAATCATTGAATTCGCTAAAACAACACTCATAAAGAAAAATACACAATTAATCATCGTAAATTTATGATTTTTGTAGTCTAATTTTGAAATATCTTTTTTAGAAACGAAACTTTCTTTTATACAAAATTGATCATTTATTTTTTTTATATTTCTTGTCTAATTAAATTTCTTTGCAGAAATAACATCAATGCTTTTATGAACAAGAAATTAAATAACAAATGTATGTAAAATGAATATTCCATGTTAATTTTAAACTTCTCTATAAATAATGACGATAAATATAATGTATTAATAGACAATGTCATATAAGAAACGTTCTCATATTATTTTGTCACCATTTTATTTTGTGTGAGTTTATATAACTTTTTATTAAATAATTATATAGAAAATATTGATGCAATTTCAATTCAAAGTTATTTAATAACAAAATAGTAACGTTTCTTTTATGACATTATGTGTAAATAAAAATAAATTAGGTAAAATTAATAATAACTATTTTTTAGTCTAATTTTGATATTTCTTTTAGTAAAAACAGTTTCTTAAGCCACACATTGCAATTTTTTTATTTTTGTTACCTAATTTTTAAATTTCTTACAATAAATTCAATAATCCAAAATATTGTTGAAAATTGTCCATTTCTACAAGAAATACAAATTGTTATTTAAGAGTTTTTTGTATTGATCAAAATTTTGATTATTAGTATCGCTTCTTTTATGACACTATGTTTAAATGACAATAAACTATGTTGTATTAATAATATCTATTTTTAGTCTAATAGTGATATTTCTTTCAGAAATCACCTTATTTTCAAATTTCTTTCAATGAACAAAAAATATTCCAAAAATATTGATGAAAATTGTACATTTCTACAAGATATACAAATTGATATTTGACAGATTTAATAGTTTTTAAATAATTGGAAGGATTGATAAAAATATTGATGTAATACTTATTTTTTTTAGTCTAATATTGATATTTCTTTTAGAAAACACATTTTCTTAAGCAACGCATTGCAAATACATTGTTTTCACATTTTCATATTTATTAGTTTTGTTACCAAATTTTCATACAATAAATTCAATAAAAACAAATATTATTGAAAATTTCCATTTCTATAAGAAATTGATAGATTTGCTAGGTTGAACAACATTTTATATAATTTTATTGTTTCAATTCAAAGTTATTTGATAAGAAAATAGTAACGTTTCTTTTATGACACTCTGACATAAATTACATTAAATTAATAATATCTTGAGAAAATACTTTTTTTTACATTTGTAGGAAGTTAACTAAACAAGCAGACATTTCCTCGAGGAAAGCAGATTGCGAATTAATTAATATCGGTTGGAGGGTGGTAGTAGTAATAAATCAACTAATTTATTGCGAGAGGAGAGTTTTTGGTAAGCGACGGAAATTAATTCTACGTAGCTGGCAGTTCGTTTTTTTCTTTATTTTTTTTATTATTATCTGTGTGCGATGTTGTCTTCTGTTCGTACAACGCCGCTTTCGTCCTTCTAATGAATGAAGATGGATAGCGGTTGGTTGGAAAATGGTGCAGAAGTGAGTGAGTGAGAGAAGGGGACAGAGAGGAGGCAATTAATTTGTGGTATTCAACGCACAATTCACGGGATTAGTTCATTAAACGGCTCGTTTATCATGAATGAATGCGTTTCGGGGCTCAGGTGTCTTCAAGTCTGCCGATTCGATGTTTTTCTTTTCGCGCAAATCCATTAAAAGGGGATTCAGGGATTCGGTGGCACGATTGAACAAATTAGTCCAGGTTTTAATTTCCATTAAGGAAACTTTAATCTCCGGATAAACTATTTCCTCCTTCGTCTGTCGGTCCATCTCTGGTTTCGTTTAAAGTGAAAATGGGGTGATAAAATAGTTTTGAAGCGAGATTACTTGTTTTTTTTTCTTGTTGCGGAGGTTGGGATTACGTTGGAGAAAATATAGAACAAGGGCGCCAAGTAGATAGAGTGAAAGAGAAGGAGAGAAAAAGAAGGAGAAGGAATGGGAGGAAAATACACACGAGAGAGGAGCAGGAAAAGAAGACAAGGGGGAAATTGCAATCGTGCGTATTTGTCCTTACAAATATATGGAGCTGCGAAGGACGCTCCGTCGGGATAACAATTTCTTAAAAGGACTCTTTCGTCGCATTGCTATTTATACATTGAATGCTTGAATCAATTTCCACATGTTTTTTTTTCCTTCGTTGTTTGTTGTTCTTGCTGTTGTTATTGTTATTATTTCCATCATGTATTTATTTTATTTATTTACATTTCCTCTGAGTTGTTATCATCATTCGACCATATTTTTATGTACGGAATTTATTAAATCTTTTTTGTGGACTCTTGAGACGCTTGGATTTTTCATTATATATTATTACAAGTCTACTTTGAACTGAAGTCGGTATTATTTTAAATTTAGTCTGCAACACATTTTTCATTTACTTTTTTTAGACAAATTTCGCATATGTATTTATTACAAATTATGTTTTTCTTAAAACAGCAATACTTCCCATAGTTCTGCTTCGATCAGTCCGGATTCACTATAATATAAAGATTAGTCCGGGATATTTGCTGAACTTATTACCGAATTAATATTGAAATTGACTTTTCATGTAGTAAACTAAACTATTTCATCAAAAATGAATGAAGCGCAGACCTCTAATTTCGGTGATACTTTCAAATTATTGTATTATCTTAATACTGCAATACTTTCCAGAGTGCTGCTTCAATCCGGTTTAAAGATTAGTCCGGTTTCAAATAGTCTGGGATATTGGCTGAACCTATTACATTCAGTTTAGGTAGTAAATTAAACTATTTAATCAGAAATGAATGGAGAAAATCGTTATGCGAGTGATTACTTTCACAACATTAAAAGTAATACTACTATAATAGTATTATACGCGCAAACCTCTAATTTCAGTGAAGTCTATATAACCTTTAAATTTGAAAACAATAAATTTCATTCGATAAACTTTAACGCTTTTGTGTTCAAATCAGTCTAAAAATAAAAACATCATTACTTATTTTTCTAACATTACAAACTTTTTGTTATAATTATATCCAATTTAGATGAAAAGATCAAAAATTGCATTTTTTTAATAAAATATTAATTGACGATATTGTTCAATTCTTGGTATTTATTTGTTGAGTTTCTGTGCGGATCATTTTTTTAAATTAAATACTCGATTAGTCCGGTTTCAAAGTGGAGGAAAAGGTTACCCGCACTATGTGAGGTATTGCTTTATTACGTCAAAAGGATTATACAAAATTCAATGTAATTTTAGATTGATCTTTTTCAATTTTTTATAATTATAAGCTTTGATTCTATTAGATTAACACAGATTATCTAAGGATTTGTACAAAAATAGCATTTCTTACTTTCTTTATACAAAATGTGTTTTATTTCAATGAAGTAAACGTTCAATAATTAATAATATTTTTTTTATAGGTGATGACAGTCCAACAAACCTGGAACCTATGAGTCGCGATCCCAAAATTGGATGACGTTCAATTTTTGATAGATCGCAAAATGACAGCTGTCACTTTTTGCCAAAACGATGAATCGTTGAAATAGTAGCAATTGGGTTGCTTAGCAATTACAAACAAATATGTTTAGTTACGTTTAAAAGGTTGAGAACCGCTGGTATATATTACGAATACTTGAGAAGTTACTTTGTGAGTCACAAGTAGCAAGAGTAAACAGATTTAGATGAATAGATCGCAAAATGACAGCTGTCACTTTGTGTCAAAGCGATGTACTTTTGAAATACTAACAATTGGATCAGTCGGTGTAGAACTAAAAACAAATATGTTGCATCACACGGCTAAAAGGTTGTGGAATGTTGGTATATATTATGAATACTTGAGAAGTTACTTTATCTGTAACAAGTATCAAGATTAAACAACTTTAGATGAATAGATCGCAAAATGACAGCTGTGACTTTGCACTTTTGAAATACTAACAATTGGATGCTGTACAAAAACAAACAAATATGTTGAATCAGGTGGCTAAAAGGTTGAAAAACGGTGGTATATATTACGAATACTTGAGAAAATACTTTATGAGTAACAAGTATCAAGATTAAACAACTTTAGATGAATAGGTCGCAAAAAGACAGCTGTCACTTTGTGTAAAAGCGATGTACTTTTGAAATACTAGCAATTGAATCAGTTAGTGTACAACTACAAACAAATATGTGGGATCACACTGCTAAAAGGTTCTGTAATGTTGTTATATATTATGAATACTTGAGAAGTTACTTTGTAAGTAACAAGTAGGAAGTGTAAACAGTTTTAGATGAATAGATCGCAAATGACAGCTGTCACTTTGTGTCAAAGCGATGCACTTTCGAAATACTAGCAATTAGATCTTAAACTGGATCACAAGGCTAAAAAGTTGTGGAATGTTAGTATATATTATGAATACTTGAGAAGTTACTTTGTGAGTAACAAGTAGGAAGAATAAATAGCTTTAGATGAATAGATCGCAAAATGACATTTGTCACTTTTTGTCAAAGTGATGCATTTCTTAAATACTAACAATTGGGTGCTATA